CACACGTAAACAGGAGGAAATACGTGTCAGTGTGTATTAACAGCACACTTGTTCGTCTCCAGCTGGACACGGCATCAGACATCACGATCATCTCAAAAAGAACTTGGAAATTTCTTGGCAGCCCAGCATTAACCAGGACCAAACAAGCTGCACACAATGCATTCGGAAGTTTACTGAAACTCACCGGTGAGTTCAAATGTTCCATGACTCTTGGAGGTATCGCTGTAAGTAGGATTTGTCATGTGTCCGATCGTGCTGGATTGGACGTTAGGATCAGATTGGATTGACAAGCTAAACCTTTCGGACAGGCCACTGAATACTATCTGTTACAAGACACAGGCGACGAAACCGAACATATTCAAAAAGCTGCCTGACTCGTTTTGGAAGAGGAACTCAGAAGGTCGCAGCCCGCGCACTAAGACCCTGTCAAACCACCCTCAAGCAAATGGCCAAGCCAAGAGATTTGTGGATACTTTTCAACGAGCACTTTTGAAATCTCGAGGGGAGGGACCAACGGACGATCTACCTCCAAAAGGGGGAAATGTCAGGGCGCGCCCAGACAGAAGAAAAAGCACATGTGCAGAGAGTGACGCATCCCCAAGGTCATCATCGGTTCGACACGTCCGGAAAGTAGGTGAGCCGGCGGATCCCACCAAACACGGCCTAGCAACACACGACCAGCGTAGTGGGCCTGAGACTGTTCACGACCGGAACACCACCATTGGCTGTATGGAGCGAACAAGTGAACGGCCATATTTGGCCGTCTAGTCATCCTATATATTTACGCAGAGGCTCTGTACGTTTTTGTCCTGGCAATACAGCCGTGTCCGCAATTCTCTGTCTTCTCCCTATCGCGTAGTCTGGCGGGCGCAGCCGTAACCACCGCGCAAGATACAACAAGAACAGGGACATTTTCACAAAGCATTTTCACCTCAGTTTTAGGAGGCTTGCCTCCTCGAGCTTGGGAAGGGGTTTCGAACAAAAAGTGCATACAAAATTAGCCCTTTAATGTAAGTATTCCATTTTGGAAATTCCTTTAAAAAAAGCAATACTGTACCATTAACTTGGTGAAAAATTACCCTTCAAAAGGCTTAGAAAGTCCTGTAAAAAACAAAACAGATTATTCGGAACTGACCTAGCCCGTAAGAATACCAGTCGGATTTGGTCGTTAGTCCATAAAAACCACGTCAACTGCATATCTCAAACATATTGTGCACACTAGACCAGAATATTCTGTAAGTGACACATGTAAACTAATGACTACGATTCCATATCGCCATTGAATGCGCAGTAAGCTGAAAAGCTAGGGAGTATTTTATCCTTGTTTGGAAGCAGTGCGTAGCTCACGATGTTCCCGCCCTTCTGCCTGGTAGATGGACTATATATAACTTGGCCACGAGTTGTCGTATGAATAACTTGAGCTCATAAGAAAATTCCATCGAAGAGGTTCCATCGGTTAACTTCCATTGAGCCGACTATTTTGCTATCCAGTGTTCATTGGCTGCTTAAATCACGTGAAGAAAACCGTGTTGTGTCCCCTCTAGATACAAATTAATCATCTGTCTGATGGTTGCATTTTCTTGTTTGTTAACCAAATGACTGTCAATCTGTTCACCGAGCTTGGTGATTAACTCACAAACCTTTCGTCACCCAACTGGGACACATTACTAGTGGGCGGTTGAGTGGGTTAAAGTATCGAACCTTTCCATAAATACGTGAGGTAAGTGCTGCTTCTGATTACTAATAGGGATGAACCAACTGAATAGCGCTCCTCGGCTTTTCAGCAGAATGGAATCCGAATTAAAACCTCAAAATCCCCTTATTCCCTATAAAGTACTTTGGTAATGTGAACATTTTAATACTCACAGCCTCCTGGAACCCATAACGTGGCTCGGGCAGCTCATAGGTAGGCGCACCGACATCTGAAGCGGTCGACAGTTGCAGGAACGCCTGACGGATGGTAACCACATGGTGTAGCTCGGGTAAGGTAACCTTCGGGTAGGACAGTCCAATGTGATCGCAGCATTGTGTAATACGGGACCACAAGCGTCTGACTAGAGAACATATTCCAGGCCTATTGGCAATTAAATGTAGTTCAGTGGCTATGATTGACTCCCACAGGCAGGCAGTCCAGGACTGTTGACGAGCGAACACAGCCGACAAATTACCATGCAGTAACGCAGCCTCCGTAGAATCCATGGGAGGAGATGCGTGATTGTGGAACAACGGGAAGGCGTGGGGAGCATGCAGTAATGCTTGTCGATACAGCTCAGAAGAGCGCGATAATTTTCCAGACCTATGGTGAAACAAAGAAACTGAAGACGTTAATTCAGAAAGCGACTGGCTGTTGGTGACTGGCTACCTGCAGATGACATGGGAAGCGGCTGGAAATGATACCAGCATGTATGAATGTTTGATAGCAAAAAGGCCCTATACATGACAAAACGGAAGCTTATGGTAATGCCTTGCGCAACTATAAGGTAAAAAGACAATTTGAAATTGCGAACGAAAGGAGTGATCAAGAAAAAAGGCGCTTGATGCAACGGATAGAGTCCCTAGTCCATCCAATCATAAAAAGGTGAACGGAAGTAGTAATGCGGAAGGGTACCTAGTTCAATCATAAAGGCTTTTCGTACGAATCATGTAGGCGACATTGGATTCATGCCCGACACGACTTCCATTCATATAAGAACACAAAGAGCTATGTTTAGGTCGGTATCAGTTACATGTTCAAACTTGTCAGCTCTCCTAGATCGTAGAGTCGGAGTCCATGAGCATAGCGATCACGAATAATGAGGCCAAATTAGGTTCGAAAGTGTTTTGCTATTACTCGCTTTTGGTTCGAGGACGCGTTCAGGTCACAAAGCCTTCCGAAAAGGCAACATTAATTGGAATAGTGGGTTCGATAACCCAATAACTGGAAAAGTAAACGGCTTAATTCGTCTCAAAATTTTGCACTCGCCAATTGTGTCCTACTTGATCGGCACTTTTAGGAACCAACGAATTCTTAAAGTCTACAATCAGTCATCCTTCACTCATGCGTGTAAATGTTATACTTTCCAGTAGTTCTGACTGCACTCAAGCGACCTATAAGTGATTTCCAGTGCCGTTAGATGAATAACGGAACAAATATTGGGGCAGGTTTCAGTGCAGGTGCTTCAAAACTGAATAGTGACATGGCATTCATAAGTACAACCTAGCAGTGTTCGACAAGTGAAATAGGCTTGATTCGCCACACTAGTACGAAAGTTCACATAATTCACTGCGCTGAGCGACTCCCAATATTTTGTCAGTTTCGACTGACCTAAAAGTGTATCGGAGCTCTAAGATTAAGATCGCTACTTTCGATGAGGTAAACCATAAACGAGAACAAATAGCGAGTCTCGAGGTCCCATTTGGGATCAGGTGAGGGGATGTATTATCTTCAAATAAAATAAAACAGCGTGAAGAAGCTCAAGTAGATATGATGATGAAATAGCGCTCAAATAGTGAATGGTTCATGCAAGATTATATGAAAAAATAATAATTGACTGGGATGAAGCTAGCCTCTATGAAGAAAGTCCCCCCCCCCGAAATGAATGAAAGATAACAGAACAATGGTAACAGTAGCGGCGACAGAAAGAAACGTGTAGGAGGTAAACGGGTCCTACCTGATACCTTTTGTCACTAATGACGAGAGAAGTCAGAGTAAAACCTACAAATCTGGAACAACAACCCAGTGATTACGATACTGATAACAATAATGTTTTGTTAACGGTACAGGCAACGGCTTTCTGTTAGGCACTGAGGGGTATGCTAATTCCACCAACTACATGTACGGGTTCTCTCATCGTTTCACCAGTACTGCGTTCGTTCGAAGTTCGTTCGTTTCAGACTACACAAACTTGAAACCGCCATTCCAACGAGCCGTAGCTTAGCTGTCGCATAACGTTCCGACTAAATCTATAGTCTTTCGTTCTGTCTGCTTGTCGCTTCAGACGGAAAACGAAGTCATTCACCTATGAAATCAGCTCCTAGCTGAACGCATGCCACATTATTCGAAAATCCAAAAAAGCAATCTAAAAAGGAACGGGAAGTGTATATGGAAATTCAAAACATACAACAGAGAGGTGGTGGTGAGGAAAAGCAGACTAGTACGAGGGCGAAACAATTCTTCAGCATAGATCGACTTCCACCGCAGACCAGAATCGAGATGCGAAGAGAGAAACTAACGTGAGCAAGCAGGGAAGGTAAGTGTGATCCGGCGTCTGATAAATGAACTCATGCAAACATATTACCGGGATCATTCAAAACGACACTTACAGATAAAATAAAAACGAACCGTTTGACTTTTTATGTGCTTTAACCTCTGTTTTAAAAAAGGTCATGCTGTAACACCCGCGGTCATAAATTATCTCACAACCTTGTTACTCGTCAGTTGAAGAAATCAGGCCAGCCGAAATATTAAAAACTTGGAATTTCTTGCGACGGTAAAGTTCATTCTTTGAGTGATCCACAAAATATGACACAAGCTCTGTCCCAGCTGACGTTTTAATAAGGCGGACGAGTTACAGTGCTGTTATGACGTGAATGCCGATTGATGGCAATCAAATTGCCCAGCTCAGCGAAAAAACAATGGCCAACAGGCCAAGCGAACTACATTACAGAACTACGCACATCAGTGTGATCGACACTCATGTCAAATTCGCAACGGAATAGCTTAGCTCAGTTTATAAAACATCCAGCCATTTTAAACTCATCATTTTATCATCTCCCACGGGCTTTAAACGCAGTCCCGATCAGACTACGATCGGACTAACCACAGCACTTGAGACTTTAGTCGTTGAGCACGTAGGAATGGGGTGGGTTTTTGGAGCGTACGTTCACCTTCGCGACAATGAACTAAAAGTGGCAGGAAAAAATCTTGTGGGGTACAAAATCCGCGTTTGATTTTCTTCTCGAACTGTGGTACGCCATTCTATCTAATCCATGGACGAATCGGCACGGTCTTCTCATGAAGAAAGTGATTGCAATTTCCTTTCTTCATCAACTTGCTCAGGTGACAACAGCGGTATTGAATCAGGTAACCGAAACTACTTACCGGTAAAAAACGATGGCAAAAGTAATGAATATGTAGGTCAGCTCACAGTAACCGGTATTTAATATGCAACTTGCTCATTCAATTGATGTCACTTACAGCCGGGACATGAAAAGCGTTTGGCCTTCGTAACTCCTGTTGTAATTCCCCGCTTTATAATGTCCCATCGTTAGCAGAATACTAAAATTCCCTTGACTAACGGGTTTATGTTTTCATATCCATTTTTACATTACATATGCTTACCCTAACCCCGTTCCAAGGTTTCCAAGCAGTTGATTCGTTAGATCATTTTTGTACGACCCTATGGCGATGAAAGCGATGAAATGAAGCCATAACGAAGTCCGAGTGTTTATAATAAGGTCGGGATTCTATCGACTTTCAACGAAAATTAACTCAGGCAAATAGTCTTTACGACAGCTTTTCGGTCACTTGAACTGTCCAGCATGATAGTTATCGTCTTATCAAACTCGTTGGTCAACTTACTATGGGAATACGTTATGGGTTTCACGTAGCATATGCTATGGGTTTCACATTGCAACGAACACCGACCAATGAGGACACACGTGTCTGACAGGGTCGCACTAACCCAGTTCGGGCCAACAGTGAACTTCACTCGGAATGCACCCTATTCTCAGGACACTCCGGTAGACATGCGTGTAAATTCGAATCCACGCCTGCATCATCGGTATTGCTTCGCTTTGGTAAGCTGTCCACGAACACAACCACGTTGGCCAAGAACGACATACCAATCAGTGGACAAAAGGTGGAATATCAGTGAAGAATGTTCTTTTGGTGCCGCATATTGAAATAGACCAAGATAAAAAGGTATCGTACGTTGTACGTCCCCGAATCCCACGCTCTTCTCTCAACGCCAATAACTCTGGAGACCGTGTTGGTCTTCGTACCCCCACAATTTCCATAATAGTTTGGCATCGAAAATAGTACACGAATGTATCCTGCTCCCTTTCACTTGAGGTGTCCTCCACCCCTAACTGGACCGGTCACTTTAGCTAGAGTGAAAAGCACTGGACTCAAGTTTCATTATTTCTAAGGCTCATCAACAGCGCCTGTTTGTGATTGTATTGGGAAGTGAACGCCGATTAACTCACAAGTAAAGCAAGCATGACGCCATTTTCGCACAGAGGTAACGCAGGTAGATTGTCGAAAACCCCGGAACTACTCGCGGATTAATTTACATTGTTTACTAGGTTGCAAGCAACCGTGGCGCGAGAAGGATCATCAGTCGGCCAGTTGTTAAATTCCCCTGTTGTTCACACGCCTCCTGAGCACATGCACGCTCACCTCTTCATATACATTAATTCAGGTGTCCAGTACCTGGTAGTGACTTACTGTTGATGGGCCCGTTTTGCGCGCCCGTTGAACATATGAGCAAGTATACGCGTTGCTGATTAGCACTTACAGGGGCGACCTTCTCCCACTGGTGTGAACGCAAACGTAACAAGTCGCACAAACGCCAAAAAATGAGATGATTCTTTCCGAAAAAATTCGGAAAACATTTCTTGTATTTGTATATCCAGGATGTGACTAAAACCAGTGAGCATGCACAGACGGCGCCCTTCTGTGTTTGGTTTCAGTGACGGCGGCGGAGTTGAGCTATTTTCTCCGGATGAAAGACGAATAATCTAACCTAATGTAAACACAACTTCACAATGTTCGATGCCACTTTCCACTTGGAAGTTTTGGTAACACAAATGTCTGGAACACCAAACAAATGTGACAAAAGTTTAGTTACATAGCGGAACACTGATACAACTTTTCGGCTTGTCTATAGTCTACGTGTGAAGTTGATCAAGTGAGCCTAAGACGACGGTATATAAATCAAACATAAACTTATAACTTCATAGTTTTGATGAGGTGATGAAGAATGAAATGCAGCTTACTCTCGCAGACTTTGATCAGAAGTGTGCAGAGAACAATAGACCCTTTAAATTTCCTGGGCCCATATTTTGGCTTCAAACAAGGGTGTTCGTTTAAAATGGCGAATTCCCCTGTTATTCCACCGGATCTTTTACGTCTTAACGGTTCGAAGCCATTGTAGGTTGGAACGGAATGTATTGTGTGCGCAGCGCCTTATTCTTTATTCCTTATGAGTAGTTAAATCTGAGGAGAGGCCGTATGGTCAGGAACTCGTGGAATCAGAACAGTCAGGAAAATGATTGGTAAATTTATTCCAGGGTAAAGTTTCACTTCCGACGCAAAATCTTCGTCAGTGAATAAGTTACCAGACTGTGTCTTTTAAAGCAGAGACTGAACCAATCGGTAAGACACCTTACCGAGAAAACGCTTAATCATTGTGAAGTTTTGGCTAGAATGGATTTTTGTTGGATAGTGCGGTTGAGTAAGGAATAAACCGGGAGTGACCCTTTTTGTTCAAACCAATCGAGCCCAAGATTTATCTCGAACGTCGCTAACAGTTTTGGTTGTCTTAAGGTAAGCCAGCACTACAACAAGTGGGCTAGCGGAAAGAGGTACATGAGATCTTCGGGGTGCATTTTCCACCTTAGATCTAAATCCTCTTGCATGGTACTTGCACACCGCCACGTTTCACCCACGCTAATCTGAAACCTATCTACACGACAGCCAGTTCTACATACTACATTCTATCCATGCTAGGGAACTGCAACTGAAAACAGCGCACTTCGACACGGTTTTTAGTTGAGAAACTGGACTGAACAGATTGAACGCTGAGACGCTTGATAATTTCCACTACCTCTGCCATCATTGAGAGTGGTATGAATCGTAAACCATGCCTCGAAACTTCCATATTTTCTAAATCTACTCTCACTTGTATGTAATGCATCTAATGCCACCACCACCACACTTGATATTTATAGGCATTTCTTAATAGCATGTGCACTCTTCTCCTGTGCTCACCAATTCTGGTGTGCAGTTCCATGACTGTCCGTCTTATGTGGGCCTCAGCATACCTCAGTCTATTATGCATTCAGTTTCTAGTCCTTCAACCAGGATGACAAGCCTCCAATTGCATCGACACTGAGTGTAACGTTAATCCAATATGGAACACTACTCTAATATTGTCTGTGCCTAGCAGCCTCCGAGTAACCTCCGATTTCCAGCCCTGCATAAAACGATAACCGTATCACTGCACTCCTCACTTAGTCTTGGTACCGCAGAAAATGTCCTTTTCAACCGTCGCTTCACCAAACTGCCTTGAAGTCTATACACTCATTTGCAAACTAATTTATTTGGTCGAGAGACAGTCGTCCTATCTCTCCAATCAAAGCAGCACTGCACTCACACGTGGACTAGTATCCACAATGTTCGTTCGCACGGCTTCAGGCATACCACACTTCCACATGTCACATAAGACTGGTGAAAAAATGAAAAGTATCATTTACCAGAAATGAAACAAATATGAATGGCTCCTTTAACTAATCGTTCGCTCATTCTAAATCGGTGTACGCTAGTGTAGTGTCATTGCTTAGTCGAGTCAGGCTGCTATGTACAGAGGAATCCGAAAGAATAGCGCCTCCAGCCGTGTTCAAAAACAGACTTCAACGCATGTATATCTTTGTAATGTACTACTCATAAGGTTACCGAAAATCGATCGACAGCCCACGACCGGTTTCGCCCTTTTCGGGGCTCATCAGGTAGGCGCAGTCCCCGGGTTTCCGTCAACCTTATGTTCTACTTGAAACCTGAGAACATCACAAACGAGAGATTCGGCTGGGTACCAGGTGCGTCTCTCGAAAAACCAAATTAGTTTGCAAGAGTGTATGTTTGCTAATTTCGTGCAATTTTGGTTGACGGAAACCCGGGGACTGCGCCTACCTGATGAGCCCCGAAAAGGGCGAAACCGGTCGTGGGCTGTCGATCGATTTTCGGTAACCTTATGAGTAGTACATTACAAAGATATACATGCGTTGAAGTCTGTTTTTGAACACGGCTGGAGGCGCTATTCTTTCGGATTCCTCTGTACATAGCAGCCTGACTCGACTAAGCAATGACACTACACTAGCGTACACCGATTTAGAATGAGCGAACGATTAGTTAAAGGAGCCATTCATATTTGTTTCATTTCTGGTAAATGATACTTTTCATTTTTTCACCAGTCTTATGTGACATGTGGAAGTGTGGTATGCCTGAAGCCGTGCGAACGAACATTGTGGATACTAGTCCACGTGTGAGTGCAGTGCTGCTTTGATTGGAGAGATAGGACGACTTTTCTCAAACTTGAGGAGCAAACGTATCCCCGGTGGGTCGTCAAAACAAAAACTTCAGATGGCCGTAACCATGGTGGTGGTGGTTTCAGAAGCCACGTGTGCATGCCCCATTGACTGCGAGCCATCTACTCGAGACATACTGTACCTTAATCGCGCAACTGACTGCTCTAGATCTGAGAGAACCCTACGCGAAACGTTTTCTATACAGCCCAACGAATTACCGTTATACACTACCGGCCCATATTGTATGAGTGCTAACGGACTCCCGTACCAAGTATCATTTCTGTGGTTCTCAGGATGAAATTTTACGGCCATTAGGTCCGAAACAGTAAACTGTATTCACTATCATACATTTTCGGTTATGTAGTTGATAATGAATTGAACGAAACCAACTGGGAAAAAAGCCACGATATTTATCCCCATGAGTGGCCTATGGCCGGTGTATAATCGCCCACTTTTTGTCTACTCGTGAGTAACTCGATGAAATTCCTAGTTCAGTTTTCAGTTCGCCACTGCACCCACGCATTAAGAGGAATGAACGTCCAGTCCAATGGACAGACCGGAAAAATTGCGTTTCATCCGGAACTACACAGAGACGATTGAAAATGAGTTTATCCCTAGATGAGCAGGGTTATTTACCGATAGTTTCAGTTGTTCTATAATGTGTTTCACAGCAGCTCCTGTTCACCATAGCTCTAAATTCCCAGAAATGACGGATCCAACAGCTTCTGAATAGGTCAGAATGTATGGTGAAGGGCATCAATGAGAGAGAACCAAGGTGATCACAAGGTAGCCTGTGTTCACTGCAGAAATTAACTGCCGAAATTAACTGCGTCATCCATGTTTGCTATGTTTATGTATTTACAAGAATCTGGTCACTGAGGTTCTGCTGCTAAAGTTTATTTTAACGTAGTTTGTGGACGGAGATACGCCTTTCTGGTACTCGAGGCATTTTAGAGGCTTCGCTATTAGGACATCAGTAACGCAGTGGAACAGGTCCGTACGCAATCATTCAGTGAGGTAAGGAACGACCATGGAATAACATTTAGATACGAGGAACCAGCGAACTGTCAGCTTGCCATGTCACTATGTATGTGACCACCACCACAGTGGTGGAGTAAATCTCAAATAGACTAGCTTTGAAGAATGAAATCAAGCACTCTAAGAAGATGGTGCAATATGAGAGAAAGTCGGAAAACTTGAGTTCGGAGACGTGCACAAGGTTTCCCTGAGCCCATATAGGAAACACCGCTGCAAGAAAAGGCAACAAAGTAAGGGAGTAAAATTAAACAAAGTACTTGCTCTCCCCAACGATTCCAAGTGGTAACACCCAAAACGGCCGCATAATTGCCAAATATCTAAGTTATTTATCATCAACTAATACAGACGAACATGTATGGAATTTTCAAAGTTGTAAGAAAGAAGCAGCATTGTTGACCGATTTCACAACTAATAATGCCTGGCTCGTGAAATTCAAACCTCTTAATTATACCTGCAGTCGATTTTTAGGTATCGAAGTGAATGAAGTATCTGCCAATAGAGCAAGCCACTGGGATGAAAATATGTATTCACCCGAATCTCATTCGTAAAAAGTTTTAACAACATAATTAAAGGGTAGAAAAGACCTCAAAAGGGTATCTCCAGCATTGTTTATTGCTTTAAAGTTTTCGTGAGGAACACACCCAGATGAGATAAATGTGTTTCTTATCATGACGTAGTTTGGATATAACTGGTCAAATGACTAGAAGAAAAATCAATAAATTCACCCCTTATACACATGCGCCTGAATATGTTATGTAGGCTAACTAACTAACTGATCGGTAGAGAATCTCTGAAAGCACATCCGTAAAAGCCGTCAGGAAGGACACTGCCTCTGCTGATGGGTGTCTCCTAGGGGTTTCTTTTATTGTTGATGTCATCGTGGATTAGAAAAATGCAGGCCCCGTGACAACTTGCAACCCAATAATCAGTCTTTGTCCTAAGTTCCTTAACCTAGTGCACTAAAAATAAATATTTGAAGGTGCGTATCTCCACAGAATCCATGGAAACTATAAAACGATGACTGACCACTTTAGAACTTACCTGAAAAAACGGTTTCCTGATTCTCGGAATTGTCTGGCTTTTTCAACATTCTTGACCTCCACTTCGCCCGATGACAAATCTTCGATGAAACATAGGATACGGCGCAGTCCCTCAGAAGCTTCTTTGTCCTCGATATACTTAACGATACTGTGATAGTATCTTGCGGCTGTCTGTGTTGAATTGGCGCCCTCAGCCATTTGGCTATAGAGTGTGGAAGTCTGACAATCGAACGGTTTTTTAAGCAAACGCTCAGCAAGCTTGTCGTTCTTCTTAACAATGTTTAGTTCGATGTCCAACAGACGAGACCACAAAGAGCTGACCAGGTCAGCCGGCATTGCGAAATTTCAGGCTACAAAATCAAAAATATAGCTATTAAGTGGAAAGCACCTACAGAAACTAAAAAATGCATTACAAAAAACACCGCAACCGATATTTCGTTTTAGTGGGAGGGTATAGGAACCATCCGTATTGCTAAACACTACAGCAGAAAGTTCTCAATAACGGGTAGCTGCAGGAAGCCACCAGACTCTACTCTGATGTGCGACAATCTATGCTTCTTACATTAATCTTCTGATAGAATTCGGGCGGCTTACTGTCGAACACGTGAAGTGGCCTTAGATAGGCAAGTTTCAGTTTATTATATTGTTTCTTGTTATCTACCAAGAACACAGCCGTCAGCACACATCACGGGACAGATATCAAATGACTGTATAACCGTCTTCCGGGCGTATCCAACCAAATGCAGGGCCCATTCCTGCACATATGTATCAATGGGTGAGAACTTAGCCTACCGTTATCCTGGTTATCCATCCGATCTATAAATCTTTTCTCATCATAGGTAACCTGTTTTCCCAGAAAACCGTATATTAGATTACTCGAACCTATATGAAGCCCGTGAAGAATTTGCATTTTTCTATCCTATCTATAACCCTTTTTAGTAAAGTCATATCGGCTAGCATCACATGGGAAACAATCGCACAGAATTCGTTGTAACGAGAATATTTCACAGCACAATTCGAGTAGTACTTCCCGAGGTTCAAGAATAACTGTGTTGCGAGCTGTCCATTGGAACGTTATATACGAAAGGGGAAACATAGTGCTCTAGAACCAGAGGAGTAAATCAAAGGATAGCCAACTAAGCACTTCTTGGGAGACAAAACATCTGGTTGGACATCATCGTACTCTAGGGATTAATATGTCAACAGACTAATTGTTACCAAATTTTTAAACTCATTGTCATCCTATCTTTCTTTGTGCGACGCCACTGTGCCCATCATCCTCTGCGTACTACATTAACAGTTACGCAGTAATAGCCCACAGGGCAGATTGCCGTACACGAGAAATGACGTAAATGGGATTTCTGATTGAACACCAGCTTGTGAACACCAGGCTAGCAGACATTCAGAAGAGTTTGGGATGTTCATATGCAGAAATCTCGGGAACTAAAAAATTCAGAGAGTACTGGAAGCTGTCTCCGCAATATAGCAAGAGTTTAATTTTTCCGCAATTCATTGTGGCCTTTGTTGTCTTAAGTTCGTAACCAGAAGTCTTGATATGACTTTCTAAACGCAGCTGAATGTCCGTTCCAGCAATATTACTTTCAACATACCACGAACTTGGTTAAGCATCCTCAAATGGTTTTCATTTTGGCAGACATGGTACAAAAACAGCGGTTGTAACAGTCTCACTTCGGAATTAGAAACTTCTCAATTAAATCTACCAAATGAGACGGTGCTGAGTACAGCTAATATGAGTGACAAACTCGCGTAGTTTTATAACATTAAAAAACGGCGAAAGATATATAGCCTACCATCACTTAGATTCACTTACGCACTCTCAAGAACTATGAACAGTAGATACAAAACATGTGAGTTGAAACAAGTGCAACAAAGCAACGGGATAGACCATGAGTGCATTACGGATCAAACCGATATTTCGACAAATTGGAAAACAATTCCGGTGATCGCGACTACCCATAACAGAAAATACAATATGATGTTCAACCACTACCCATCGTCTGCCCATCGTCGACTTAAGCCCCACAGAACCCTCCGCTATCTCCCTGGACAACAATGATACGTGTCTTAGGGTAACCGCACTTGGAGCAATCACATGAAGGGATCCCAGAATTGCGATTTAATGTGAACAGATGAAACTATCTATCACAGCCAAGTTACCAGTGTAAATAGTCGTATTTCACTACTTTTCCCGCATTCTATAATTATCAAGGTGCAGTTTTGAGACAGAACACAGATTCTTATCATTATCCCTTAGTAATAGGTTCTCGACAGTAGTTTTTTGTTTGGTCTGCTGACAATCGCATATCGTCAGTCCCAGACATGATACAGTGGTTCCATATTTTGAGGAGACCTGGTTGAAAAGGTCCCTGAAAAGAGGTCTTTATCAGAAGGATACGAAAAAATTCCTATACGTATGTTAAAACCGGATAAATTTGAAATAAACTATTCGCGTTGGGGGGAACTGCTGTTTTGTTTGTGCTACCTACTGCATTCTTATGTGGTCCGTTTAGAATGTAGTTCCCGTACAATGTGCATTAAACACAGCATGCTTTTAGGCCCCCGAATTCGCAGTTTCATTAAACCGGGTGCTCTGTGACTTTTCCCGTAGTCCTAAAACAAATCCCTTTTTATAGACGTAATACATTCCTGCACTACTACATACTGCAGAGCATCATAAACGAAGTATTAACCTGGGTTCCAGGTGAGTCTCCCGTCAAAACCAAGTTGATATGCAAATGGATGCATTTCGTTAGGTCTCTTTTTACCTGTCATTCAGTATTTTCGTTTTTTAAGGATGTTTTGTTGAAACACTTCAGATTTGACGTGGCGTGAAAAAGTTATCTAGGAAAAAATAGTGAACATGATTTTCCTGCTAACCCAACCTTGAATGCAAGCTGAAGATAGGAATATCGGATTTCATTCACCACTCCCCTATGCCTAGGTAATGCAAAGGGATAATCAAAATTAGGTTAAATGCATAAATTATTTGTGTCAGTATAGTCTATCTGTGTCCTAAAGAGAGCCTACTTGATAACCAGTCCAAAAGTTGAGGCATTGACTTGAGCCGGAGAACAAATACTCATGATTCCGTGCAAAAAAATTCACAGGGAGGGCAAACTTGCTTGATACAATGAGACTTGCAATGGGGGACGAAATAAACCACTCTACTTTTACCAGTGCGGTTCAAGAGTGAGTGAACCGGGTCGCCCATGATCTAAGGAACAACTTCAGGGAGTAGCAAATAAAAAGTGTAATGACTCCAATAATTGCGAAAAACGCTGCTCTACATCGATAATTGTCAAAGCCTAGTATAAACTGGACAATATGCCATGACGTCTCTTAAACTCAACTTCGAAGAGCAGGAACGTGTTTCTCGTAACGTGATCACCTAACGACCTGGGCTAGTTAGCTGGATTACTAGCCACACAAGATAGTTTCCACCGGGTACAAGAGTTCGCAGAACTTTTACATATGCGTATCGTTAACGAAAAACCTGTGATAACGAACATTGAGCTCACGCACTACGGTGCATGACCTCATGGTATACCGTACTACACACAACCTATGCGACCATCCCTGCTTGTGGAAAGGTTAACTGTCAAGCTACCTTTTGGTAGTTTTAGGAATGCGAACTAGCGGCAGCTAAAATCCGACATCACGCCCTAACATAATGGAACCAAGTGCCATGGTCCTAGTTCCACATTTCTGGGGGGAAGGTGGTTCATTTTTTAGTGAACAACGTCTGACTTTGCCAACAATTTCTGGTGCCCCTGGGGAATCGGTCCCCCAACTCGATGGTAAGGTCCGCGTGACTATAACAAACCTCCTTTAATGGCAAGTTTCCTATTCAGGAGGAGTACACTTTGACGATTATCTGGTGAGCTTTTTCTGCATGGGTTTTCCCCTGCAGCATGCTCAATTCTTCTACACAAAGTCATAGTACTACAAAGATTACAGGTCGTTCGCATCAAAATTTCCATCTGAACGTTACTTAACATGTAATCGTTAGAAGGGGATGTATGAATTACAACTCCTGAAGTGCGTTGTCATTGGCACCAACAAATCTGAATGAAACTGATGGGAACGTCAACTTTAAAATCGCGCTGGGATCGGCGAATACCGTAGGGTAAATGTGCAGCTTACCAAAGGCAATATTTCACATTTCTGGACAAGTCACTACCAACCATTTTAGGGATGAATGTTGTTACTCCTTTGGGCAATGGAGATTAGAAGACTAAATGAGTAGGATGCTCATTGGCAGATACTATACGCCCATGGCCATGCTCTCTGGCCGATGGAAAAATTTAGTTATACTCCGGTGATGCGCAACGCTTCAGAAAGGAAGCTATCAAAAACAGCGTTCACTGGCAGTTGAACGGTTGCGTATCTAACGGACTACAAATGTCGATACTGTCTGAAAAGTGGAAATATTCGCCAAATACACACACGATCGGATTCACCCTTCTTGGAGCTCGTGTTGTGGTTACCGGGTATATGGATGTGCAACCAAGTACAGTTAATGCTGCTGAGGCTCCTGGTCGACATTATCACTCGACGAACTGTTGGACTTCAGGTTAGAAAGACGCTTGCGCGGGTCCAGAAGCTGAGATGAAAGAGGCGAGAAACCCTGAAAACGTGCATAAACTACTAGGGCTGATGCGCGCAACCGGCTCGAAAAGGCTTCTGGTGCGTGAAACAATCACTGACAAAAGTAGCTCGCTTATCTCATCTACATCATTGTATTGAATAATGTTAACAACTAAACTGACCACCTGCAGTTGCTCAGACGGATTCCCGAACCCCAACGTAGTCCTGGACAGTGAACGTGGAACTTACAACGACCATGGAAATAAGTCAGTGCCTTTTTCCCCGCAAGTCTCAGCGAGCTGCTGGTCCTGACGAACCCCCATTCAATATTTACAGACTGTAATGAAATCTTCAGTTTATGCTTGTCTAACTTACTTGCCTGTATCTGGGGGGGAAGGGACTGTCTCAACCGAATAGCGAGAGTCGATAGTGGGTAGGGTCTTCAAAAAGGTTGCCCGCAGTGTAATCAAAAAAAGAGTGAACTTGACTTCAATTGTAACCATACTCTCCGTCGCTCATCTCACATCGTCCTTTGAAAGTGCGTGAAGACATGGCCCGAGAACGACATCAGGATTGTGGCCGGGAAGGGGTTGCATGGATCACACCTCCTTGAAAACATGGTACGGCGCAGAAATGGGAGCTTGGTACAATGCAAAAAGGACTAGTTTCACAACCCCCATACCACAACAATAAGCCAGTAATCACCACGTCATCGCGTTCAAGGTGAAAGAAGGCTCACAACGATAGCCAGCTGACCAGCGGCGTCAAGGGCTCACAAGAGGCTTTAAACTGGGCTTAAAGCAATCTACCTGGCTGGCACATGCGTCGTGGTTCAGCTACTATCAGCTCGTAAATTCATCTCGAATGACAACCGTTCGTTGACCCATGCATCCACCATCACTCATTTTTGTCATTTGGGCGTTTAGCTGCCATGCTGCCCACCGGAAGTACCAGGATTGAAATGCTTCCAGGTTGCCTAAGTCAGCGCAGCAGCAGTCGAGGGTAACGTGATTGGATTTCAATCATTGCCTTCAGCTTCACTTCTGAGGATGAACCTCTGGCTAATCACGTCGAGTGTACATGTACCCAAGCAGCTGTCTCTAAAACCCTGGTCTATCAGGCTGTCCCCTTGCTCACTATGAATGAAACTCCACAACTGCGGCACGGATATTCGAGAACTAGAGGTGGCGACGTGGGATATTACGAAAGTTAAACGAAGAGGGCCCCAAGTCAGGCAGCATCACAGACACCAAGTCCGTCCGCATCAGTTCGCTCACGCGTTCCGCAAGTCGATCGATGAACTCGTGGGTAGAGTCCTCAACTGAAGACTCTGCTAAAAGTGATGTCGCCGTCAACTGAAAGCATGGCTTCATAGGGTAGCCGAACGACTTAATCTCCAATCTGTTTAGAGTAAATGTCGATGGACCTATGACAAAGTTGCGACCCGTGTCGATCATGTGGCTAATAACGGAGCGGGGGCAACTGAGATCCCGGATCATCTCACCAAAATAAAACACAGTGAGGTGAATTAAGTGACCAGCCATACCGACTTCACCACCTCCTCGCCACGATTGCGAGGCCACACAGAAGTGGCCAGAAAACTTCGCTGCGGGGACCCAGTTGAGTAGGGGTGTAGACATAACAAGACAGCAGTCGTCAGCTGAAATGTAAGCGTAAGTCCGAAGGCTAATCCACGGTGGACTGATCATCCCTATCGATTGCCCTACAAGGTGAGACCTGGTTTGTGGCTAATACCTGATAGACCGGCCTCACACTTTTGTACGCTGAAAGTAAACCACCAAACTATGCTATGATGCCCAACTACATTCATCCCCGTCAAGCTTGACAGCGACGCATGATGAAACAATGAATGATGCAATGAGTGAGCAATTAGCTCTGGCACAAGTGAAGTGCGTATCGTTGTCCCTGACCGTTCATCAATGACACTCTGCTGTCTCTATGCTCACGTACACTCCAAGACGGTATAGCCGGCATATGGATACAATGAACTAACCGCATTGGTGTCATGTACCCGCCAGCTGAATTCCACTACGTAATATACCCACTTGAAAGTCACAACGGGACGAGACATCGTGAGTGCGCCGTTGGGTTCGCGAACTGATGAGACGTTTGCAGGCCTATTACCAAGCTCGGCGGATAGATCGACTGTCATCTGATCAACAGCCAAATCATAGCGTTCATTACACTGATGTCGGAAAACCACTGAACTAGAGGAGGAATTCGAATCTGATGTGATGAACCGGGTGTTACATGGAACGTGTCAGTGTACTACACTCAAAAGTGACACGGGTTGAGCTTCACGACAATGTGGAGGGAGTCATTTTCATCAAGTATGACAGCAACTCAATAATCACAGTAAACTTTGACAGGTTGAAATGTATCATGCAGGTTGCAAATATTTCATCCAAACAGACGGCAGCAGAGCTGCTGAGTTGCACATAGGTACGTGGAGTTTCGATTGTTACATATATGTTACGTAACCGGTGGGTTTTAGCAAGGTGAAGGGTGTGCTGGATAACATCCGTGGTTTTCATTATTCAGGGGTTTTCGAGATATAAGGAGATATAAGTAGAAGTCTCACCAATCTTGTTTACTCCACGCAAACCACACTTACCATACAACGCTCAGCCAAAAATGATCACATTCCAAATGAAGAAATCGACTAGCTCCAAAAAAACACCAAGACATGCTGCAAGACAAGACAGTAATTTACACAGAAATGTAAGAGTTTATTTGGCACTGTCGGATTCATAAAAAGAAATAAGGGTTGAAAAAATTCTGCTACACGTTATGCTTCCACTGATTAATGTGGCTTTGGTACATGTCCGTCTACATAAAAATTCCGAGTTGCTTTCGGCAAAGTAATTGTCATCCCATCCAATTCCTTGGTGAGATAGATTTGACAGGCTGGAAGGCGTAAAGAAATTTTTCAGAAGGCAAAAACGCGCAGCATGGGTCAAACAAGGAGTAGGACAATAGAGAAATAAAGAAGCTTACATAATCTGGAGTTATCTCGGAGAAACACGGCCAAGTCAAGCATATCCTCTTCTTCTTCCACAGGCTCCGGCAACATGTCATAGTAGGGAGAGCTGACATACACATGACAGGTTGAACAAGCTAAGGATGCCTCACAAGCGCCCTCAATCTCAACATTGTGCCGATGAGCGAGATACATCAAATTGTCGCCGACCTTGCCCTTCATTGTGGATTGACTGCCATCGCGCCCAATGACATTCACGGTGACCCTGCATATGATGGGTATCAGTGTGCGAAGAAAACCTTACACATCATCCGGGCTTGTTGGTTCCTTCTGTTCATACTCCCCGTGTCTGAGTAATCCTCAAGGAAGTAACATTGAAGCACTGACTAGGATGGACTTACTAGTCACGTGCACATATCTCGGCAAAAACGCGTTTAAAACTGACTTGGTGCTATTAGACACTCGGGAAAACATATTAGATGGATAACAGGAGATCAGTAGCCTGAAAAAGATATGATAATTAAAAGTTGGAGACGTCGGTGATTGTTAAAAAGATCACGTCCATGGGGTGCGGTGAGTGTAATGGGCGCCACCACAAACCTAAACCTTTCCAAGAAAGTTCAAAGAACATGGATCTTCATCACATTCAAGCTTCGCATCGACGTGAAGCTGAAGCTTGTGGTGCCGAGCGATGTTGCGGGAGATAGATCAAAATAAAATCGGAAATAGCCAGAACTAAAAACCCGCCTACGCAAAAACCACCAGACAACACGAAGCTCCAAAACGGAAAAACCCGGGTGGTTTATTACGATTTGAATATTCCAATCCGAAGATGGACCAAGTGGTTAGAGCGCGAATTTACTGACCGGAAGGTCCGTGGTTCGACCTCTGCCTCTCGAATTCCCCTATCTAGGCTCGTGCAACCCGGCAGTATCCCAGCCCTCGTGCCTCCTTCGTGTGACATGGCAGCTTGTCACCGAAAGGGTGCTACAGCTGAAAGATTTATTTTTTATTTTTATTCAATCCGAAGAACACATGATCGTAGCTACATGTTCTGTCTCCATCCATCCAGATTAGGAACAACCCTCGACAGCTCGGCAAACAATATGCATTAAAAAAACCGTTCCAAATTACACATTAATAAGGAATGTTAGTTGCATCAACTGAAAAACATTCTGTAAGCAATCAGTTGAAAAACGTGGTATTATCAAGGTGATCAAGCGAGCCTCACGATTAAGTCAAAGACTTTTCATTAACTCTATAGTTAATCTTATATGAGGAAAAAAACCTTCAATACGTTGAATTTCGTCCCAAGTGGAATAGAAGGTGAATTTCGGGTAAAGAATTTCAAAAACACCAGACTCATATGGGACTCACATTAAACTGTAAAGGGGCACTTGACGCCAAACACGGCGCATCCTTGTTATTATACCTCGACAAAGTCCCGCAATTCAGTTAGGCTGGTTACAATGAGGAGTGAAGAAAAGTTTGGCACTGCAACGGCAGTTCGTTTTGGAGATAGTTGTTGCAGCCGCCGTCGATCAACCGAGGATTGTTATATAAAAAGGGAACGAGATGGCTCAGCGGTTACAGCACGAGTCTACTGACCAGATGGTCCGTGGTTCGAACCCGATCCAACTAAGATGAGTCGGTGTACTGTTCACTTGCAAGAAGCGTACTCACACGACCACTTGGTTGGCCCCCACTGCTACTCCCCTGGAAGGCGAGTAGCACCAAAAGAACCCAAACGTTTCGTAATCTCTTTCACACTCATCTGCCAGGTCAGACGTTGGCCACCTCACTGCTCCTGCCACTCAGAACTTGCCACGGAAAACAGCACTCTCTTCGGCTAACGATGTTTCCGTCTGCGCAATACATGACGTAAACAACATACCGTCTGGTGCTGGACACATTCTTCAATGACAGTCCATGTTATACAATCGAAAACCCGCTTTCTAGTCACCCCGTTGCAGATTCTACAGCACCAACTCACACGTGCTAGGGTCCAAAACTCCTGAAAACATCTCGGTTCCGCTGCTCAAGCAGACCAAGTCTCAAAGCCATACAACAAAACTACAGACTGCGCTGTAGCCTGATACATGCTCCCTTGAGATACAAGAACATGCCGCTTTGACGCCATAGGTGCTTCAAATTGGCGAACGAGACCCGAGTCTTGCACACTCGTGTATAGACCTCAACGGTCACACTAGAGTCAGAATTAACAAAGGACAACACAACTTGTAAAACGCCCCACAACTTCGAGAGCCTTTCCCTGGGTTGTGAGTGGCGTGTTCAATGACTGCAAGTCCAACAGCATGACCTTACACTTTGTGAGTGCAAAGTGCGCACCAAAAGAAGGGATGATTTTGGCCAGTTGATCAAAAACATCTGCACTCTTTACTCCTCGAAGACGAGAACATCACCTAAATATCACAGATCAATAGGGTCATCGTTAGAGGCTATTTTAACACCGGTGTTTGTCTCATTATATCATCCATCACGAGATCGAATAGGAATGGAGAGAGTGCGCACCCCTGACGGATACCGCTTTGTGTACGAAGTCTTCTAGGGAGCTGTCCATATACTCTCAGACGTCCAGAAGTGTGGGGATACAAGCTGCCGGGGGTGCTCTTTGATGTAAAATCGTGTCAAGGAGAATATCCAGCCAACCGAGTCGGATGCACCCTGGAAATCCAGCCATACTAAAGTCGTGGGTGGTTTGTATGTATGGATTTGTTCCGGCACCTTACGGAGTGTGATTTCAGCAACGCGACTCCTACCAGGCCGAAACCCTGCTTGCTGCTCTCAAGTCAGCGTTTCACGGGCCATCATAAGGCGACGAAGCGCAAGCGACGCCAACAGTTTCATTACGACCGGGGTGCCCGAAGGCTAGTCTACCCTAAATAACCGGCATCACGTCAACTGAGCAGATATGCGAAGTGCGGGCTACGGACCAAAGAAGGCATACTCTGATTGGTCAGAATGCCAGCCAATCTGGATCAAGTGTACTCTGCTCGACGCCCTTCGACCCTCATGGAGATTCCAGCATGACCTTGTTGAGCACTTTGTGATTACCTCATAAATACAGTTGTAAGGATTTTCCTCTGTCTCCAAAAAGGGCCGTCTGAAGCTACCGTGCCTTTGGTATACCATGACGGGTGGAGCAGGAAGCCATGGACTGATCAGAGTTGCACAACCGTCCAACAAGCCACTACACGGGGTCAAGCTGATCCTCCTGTGGTTACTACACTCAATTCAGGACCCTCTTTTGAAATGGGCACCATCACTGAGTCTCTCTAGTTGTCTGGGACAGTCTTCTCTTCCCAATTACCCGCAAGCTGATCAAACAAGCGCTGACTAAGGATTTCATCAACATTGTTGAACAATGCTTGTTGAAGGTGTAGTGGTCTGGCCACCTAATAAGTTAGTTTACCAGGAGTGTGTGGCGAAGAAATAAAAAATAATTACGCTAGGTTGGGTATACAAAAATAAAGAAGTCAGATGGAACAGACTCACTAGCAATTGTTCTTTTTAAAATAGTTCGTCGTTGGCCCAGGTCAGCGAATGAACAATAATCCAATTATGTTGGTCCAGAGATCTTCTTCTGAACATTTCCCACATATAATAGATCCCGAAGATGTCTGAAACGTTTTGGTACCACAGTTAGTACATGAGACCCGCGAATGACCGCTGCAAGCGCGAGCGAAATCAGTAGAGAGAGTTGAAGCACGTGACCACGCTTGTATTCTGTGAAATTGTACAAGTGCACGTTTTTCTAGCTTTTCGTATTTGAACAAAAAACGATTATGCAATTGATGAAATACGTAGTGTTATAATGGAAGTAAAATAAAGTTACAAAACGCCACAACGGCCACCCGGATCGGAAGCCCAGTAGTGCTTATGCTGGCCTAGACTGTCTAACCATTCGGTATGTGCTTCACACTCATAAAGTGCGAGATTATTCTGCACGACCTAGGTTTTGCAAACGTCACCAAGAATTCGAGAAGCGAAGTCGCGATGTGGTGTTTGACAAGGGAGATCCACAGTAAAAGGTGGACACGTTCTGTGGAGACTGCAGAACGTCGTGCGTGGGATATGTGCGTTTCATGGGATTGGGGACGCCGGATCTGAATAACTGCGAAAATTATGCCCACAAATTCCAGGATTCCCTTCACAATATCGTTCACTCACTCAGCCTCCCCGGTCATTTCATCTACTTTGCTTCGTCCAATAATTAGACACTAGAAATCCTAAGTATTTTATTTCACCTCTCTGGAATGCTTGTATTTTTAGCCCGGTCAAATATTAGAACCTTCAGCCATTCTTAATATGCATTCTCATCATTACGCCGTATTACCGCGCATTATTCAACGTCCGCCCATTTTTTATAAATACTTCAATAATGCGGAACCCATACACTGCGTCACCTCTTAAAGCACCACGGAATAAATTTCACCGAAACCATGGGGGTATGAGCCGAAAATTTTACAGGAAGCCAGTCTGTTCCTGCTCCGTGTTTTGCTGATATGTTGTTCACAGGTTTTTTATTTGGGCAAACTGTAGGGACACCGAACACTACAGACTTGTGATTACCGTTTTGCGAGATTAGGTATGACAGCATATAGTGGATGTCCGGTGTGTTCTTTAACTAATAGGTAATATGTACAGGGTTTCCGATGCGAATTGATCCCGGGTAAATACTTGTCTTGCATATCGAATTAAACGATTTCGTTTACTGAATGTCGGTATAAAACGGTTCTATGGAAGCTCGCCTTGTATGAAGTATAATGATCGAAGACAACCCCACGCATCGTGCAGCATATGCATATCTGCGAACAATCACCACTTCTCTTTAGGCGCAACCATTCAGAAGACAATGTGGCGTTTTTAGCTGTTTAACTGTGAATTGCCGCCGTCTGGTGAGAGACCTTTCCTGTTAGAACGCAGGAAATAATTTGGCATGAAACGAAACAACACGCTGGAGAATAGTGCCCACCACTATTCTTCATCATGATAACCTGAAGCCTTGTCGCCTGACTTGGCCGTCGTATTCTCTGAGCCTGTACTTATGCGCGCTGCTGGCAATGAGGCCTACAACACGCTGAGAGCCTAATGTGATGGCCAACAGCAGAAGTTCATCATCATGATCATATGGTATGTCATCCTGCCAAGCCGGCAGGGTGTCGAAACATATCTGTTTACATAATGCACTGGTGCAACAGTAGCGGGTAGTGACTCCTTTTTGCTTTTTTGTATGCCATTTTCACTCAAAAATGGTCCCTAAATGATAAATGTACATTCGACTAAATCTCACATGCATCTTCGATAATTGTTTAGTCGTCTTGTTGTAACAAAGGCAAAATTACCACTACCTCAATAAACCCATTTTTACCAATGAAGAAACCG